CTTATGTTGTTGTATGAAGGATATATATGGCAGTCACGTTCTTCAGCTCCATTTCTCATAAGTTGGTAGGTTGATTTTGACATGCCACCATCTATAATTAATGCCAGACCTTCATCAGGTGTATACTTTTTAAATTGACTAGAAGGTTCTGATATCTCAGCAACTTGCTTGGCAGCCTCATAATTATACTCATTTCTTAATTTAAGCCTTGCTGAGTGGAGCAACTCATCACTAGAAAAATTATTTATAATATCATTAAGTCTTCTCCTTTTGGTTTTGTCAGAAGCATCTTTAAAGGAACAACTTGGTCTTCCACCAATCTTATGTAATTGACTAGAATTATCAGGCTTAGATATATTATTACTGTATGTAGATTTAAAGTCCTGAGTCAACCAATTTTTATTTTTACTCTCAAACTTTATGTTTCCTCGGTTTGCATCCTTCCATTTCTTTTGATAAACTTTTAAAAATGTAGCACACCTAGTAGAACCCAAATTCATAGAGACTAAAATAGCTTCTACAGACAAAGAAAATGATTTATCACTCGAATTTAGTTGGTCATGCCGTATACGGTTATGGACATCACTTATCTTCATATCAGCTACAAAAAAATTCATTTAAAATTATTAGTGCAACCACTATAAACTAATATAACATGAATATGGCCATTATTTTTATTTCAGATATATTTAATTAGGCCAGTACAATAAGCACAACACCTAATAATGACAACAAACCAAAAAATAGGTTTGTCGTGAATAGCATTTTACAACAATATATATTTTTTAAATGTTTACCAAACCTAAAGGGGCAGCTATGAGCAGAATAAAACAGCACCAACAGGCTGTACATATATTGTATTAACTTATTCTAACATTAATATGCTGTTCCAGCAGGTTCTAAACTATATGAGCCACTTTTAACATAATAATTTTATACTATAAACAAGAATCTTAACTTTATATTTCAAAATAAAACTGTGACTTTAATACAAGACCTTGGAATTTGTTATGGTATTTTTTGAAAAGCTATCAAATTAAATTTTAATAATATGTCAATTAATTTCGCATATGTTAAATAATTTAAAAGTTATTTGTTGTTATAGTTGTGTTGTTATGGTATATTAAAAAAAAAAAAAAATTAATTAATCATTATATTCAATTGTAAATAATAATTGTACATTTATGATGTACAATCAAACTACAAATAATGTTTTAAACCATACATTATGCTCTTATAAATATAATGTACTAAGTAGTTGGAAGTATTTCGAAATTTTTTTTTTGAGGTTTTGTCTACCACCTGGCCCACTGTGCACTGATTTGAAATTTTTTTTTTAGTGATTTAATAGACTTTATTACAGTGATTTCAGAAAGTAAAAATAGTGAGTACTCTTGGGTAGTTACAAAATCAGAACAATGAAATTTACACAAAATGCATTAAAAACAATAGAAATAGAGTTATTGATGTACTTTAGTTTGTATTATATATTGTAATACGAAGTATGTATATATGTAAAAGTATTTCATCATCAATACTAGAAATAAGTCTTAAGTTAAGCCTGAATTAGACTTAAACTCAGCCTGTTTTAAAACTGAATTAGTTTTAAAACAGGCTGAGCCCCCTTTTGCTTCACCCTCCCCCCCAAATTTGATTGTTTTGATTATGTAACTTCCCCATGAGTACCCACTATTTTTTTCTCTGAAATCACTGTAATAAAGTCTATTAAAGTAATAGAAAAAAAATCTTTTTCAAATCAGAGTTGATCCTAAGTTACCAGTGGTTTCAAGTGAAGACACAATTTCTTAAGTTTTAGCCGGAGTAATTTTTAATAGGTCAAAATTTTTTACCAAATTTATCTTAACTAAACTAAAAAATGTCTTTTTGCTTCTTAAATTGCAGATTTTGTTTATTGACCCATCAAAAATCAACTTTTATATTTCCAAATGATTTTTTAGGTTTTTTAGGTAGCCATTATAGATAAAATGTGGCAGAAAATTCAATGTTAAAGTTATACTAAAGTAAGTCTAGAGTTGTATTCAAGAAGGTTTTCTGAAATTTTGTTTTTAAAATATAGAACTTTAAAGTATGAACAAAACATTTCAAAAGAACAAATCAACCTTGAAAAATTTTGGGCATTTACTTAAAAACTGCTAGATCATCATCTCAAACAATTTTTAAACTAGCCAATATCAGTCAATCAACTATTTCTCCGGTTCTCAAACATTACAAGGAGTCTTTATCCATCAATTGCATCATTATCTGCTTTATTTAAATTATTTCAAGACTTTTATATTTTTTTATATCAAAAAATTCTTTTTTTTTTTTCAAGCTCTTTTTTTTGTTCCTAATATTTTTTAAAAAATTAATATTCCATATATTCAAAGCATTTTCATTTCATTAGAGTTTATTTAAAAAAAAAAATTTTAAGATGAATTTAAAGGTTAAAATATAGTAAAAAAGGATGACATATTTCAAGGTACCAATATAGAGTAGTATATTTTTATTATCCCAATATATTACTATAAGTATTTTTCTAAATAATTTAGATAAAATACCTGTTCAAGAGGTTGGATTTAATTGTATATATCAAAATACATCAAGTAATAATGAATCTAAGAATGCAGTTATGATAGATAAAAAGGTATTAGTTATTATTAATATTTTATTTATTGTTATAAATTTTTGGTTTATAAAAGAACAAATCATTGTATTTCAACCAGTGGCCTGTGGATCATCATCTATGATTTTCCTGATTTTAATATATTGTTATGTGCATTATGTAGATAGGTTAAATTTGAAATTTCAGATTTCCAAGTACAACTGTTCAGAAATTATAGCATTAGAAACATGATACAGTGGTTCCAATTGATTTACAAATGGTCAAAACAGACTACTTGAGAACTCTATAACTTTTTTCTCACTTTCAACAAGTGTCTCATTTTTTCTAGAACTATTTTCTGGATAGTTCTCTCTTTAAGAATGTGGTTTTTATTAACTTGTACTAAATTAGAGAAAAATTATGACCTCTTCAACTTTGGAAAAGATATTAAAATTGCTAAAATATGCCAAAATATACTGTAGCATTTTTCTATTCATCCACAAGTCTTTACAAATAAATTTTCTAATTTGCTACTACTGTCTGCAATAAATAGGCAAAGTATAGCTTGTTGCAGTTAATGATCAAATATATCTAAAAGCAAAATGTCCATTTTCTTAAAAAGTCAAATTTTCAGCCATTTTGAAATGCTTTTAAATTTTTCTAACACTTTGTTTTGATCTAAGATACACAGCATATAAGACCATTTGAACCAACTATCTGAAAATGGATACATATACTTGTCAAGTTCACACCAAAATTGCCAGCATTTTTAGATAACCCTATTTTTCAATTATCAACAGTTAAATGTGTTACTAAAAACCAGTGCTCCTCTAATCTGCCTATTGGCCTATGTGAGGGGTGCAACTAATTATAAGCCATTTCTTAATTAAAAAAAAACATCATTGGTTGCCCTCTCCTTGATCTGTCTTTATAGTAGATAGGGGCACAAATCAAGGGGCTATAACTTTTGAGAGACCTTCCTTATGGTTTAAATGAAGATCTCTAAATTAATTTAGATATTTAAATACGTAGCATATGGTTATATATATATAAATATATATATATATATATATATATATATATATATATATATATATATATATATATATATATATATATATATATATATATATATATATATAATCTTCAACTACCTACTTGATTTAAATATGGTAAATAAATATATGATATATTAAATAAAGTATTAAGTTAAATATAAGAAAAGATTTTATGCATTTCCTTACACCTTAATACTTGCATTTTTTTCACTTACTTTTATTTAATTAAGTGGTATTTTATTGTTGATTTATTCATCAAGTTTGTTGGTTTAAATTTGAATTTATTTTGATTTTAGGAGCCCATTGATCTAACAAAGAATCCTTATGTAAGTTTTATTAAAATGTTATTTAATAAAAACATTTGATTTACAAAATGTTATGTTATTTAAGTTTCAATGTTTTAGAAATGTTATAAAAATATAAAAAAATTAAAAATAATAAAATTAAAATTGTTAATTTGTTAAATATAATAAAATGTTAATATAATATATGTTAAAATGTTAAATATAATAAATATAATAAAAATTAAGTAATAATAAAATATTATTTTAATAAAAACATTTGATTTATAAAATGTTGTTGTTTAAGTTTCAATATCTTAGAAATGTTAGAAAAAAAAAAAAAAAAAAAAATTAAATTAAAATTATGAATAACAATGCATAAATTAAAATAAAACACAATTTAAATCATAAATAACAGCATATATACAATAACATTTAACAAAACAATAACCAGGTGCTATTCTAGACTTTTTTGACAGTGTCCACCATATTTAAGTGCTGTCTAAATTAAAGTTTAAAATCTTTGTTTTTTTTTTTATGTTCATTACGGCCAATATTGTTTTTTTTGCAAAAAAATGCTGATTTTCCACCAAATCTCTTCGGGATGGAGGGTACCACCACCCAAAGTTTTTTCCTAGAATAGACCCTGATAACAGCAACAACAAATTATAAAAAACAACAACAAAAATTATAACAATGTATAAATTACTTTTGGGGTTTGATATCATTATTAAAAATATATAAAAAAAGCAACTAAAATCATAATAACAGCATATGTGACAACATAAATTTAAAAAAACAACAACTAAGATTATGAATATCAAAACATAAATTAAGTTTCAAATAAAACTTTTATCTAAGCAACTTTAGAAGTTAATTTTTTTTTGTTAAATTAGTTGTTAAATAAGTAATTTTAATAACTTCAATAATTTATTTTTATCTATTTTTTAAATACAGGATACAAAGTTGACAGCTGCCATCAGATTAAAATATGATATTGAAAGTATTGAACAAATTGTTAAAGAAAATCCGAGTATCATTAACACACCAGAACGTAAAGTATGTTTTATACTTTGTGTTTTACTTTATATACATAATTGTCAGTTCTAAATGTTAACTTATATTATATATATTTCATAGTATGCAATAATTTTTATAAAATTTCAAAGTTTTAAATCTTTTGATTTATAGATTTTTGATAGTCTCGCTATCTCTAAATTATTTTTCTGTTCAAAATCTTTTTTTTTTTTTTTTCTTTTTAAAAAAAAATTCTAATCATAATTTTAAATAAAAAGTTAATTGTTAATTGTGATTTTATTTTTTTGAATAAAAAGCATAAAAGTTTAATAAATGTATAACTAGTATAAATAGCATAACATAAATCACTAGCAAAAATCAAAATAAAATCAATGAAATTTTCAAATGAAAGCTTACAAATAAATTTTCGCAAATAAACTTTTTCTTGGCACATTTTTATTCAATTAAAAACGGGACTTTGGTAACGTTCAATTGATTTTAATTAATGTTGAATTTTTTATTAAATTTTTAAAGTATTAAAAATATTTTAACTGAATACTTAATACTAAAATAAATCATTTTATGAAATGCTGCTATAACAATTACTTATGTTACATAACATTACAATTACATTTCGTTACATGTTACTTAAGACTAAGTTTTTACTAAAAATGTATTCAAATATATATAATAATAATAATATTTATTTGCATTAAAAAAAAAATACTTTAAAAAACAAAAGGGTGAGACAGGTAATCACAAGATTACGCTTATGTAACACCTGAACAAAGGCAATTTAATACAATACGCAACTTTGTTATAAGTCGTAAGTTTGTAGTTTTTTTTTGTATATGAATAATGAAGATGAATTGACAATGTGAGCAGGCAATGAATTTCATATTTTTACAATTCTTTCACTGAAAAAAAATCTACGTGTATCGTTAGTACATTTATTGAAACTAATTTTTTCGTATGACTTCTAGTGGGGTAATGAGAATTGGAAAATATAAAGAAATCGGAAAAAGGAAGGTCGACAAGATTTTGTTTATAATTTTGTGGGTCATAAAAAGATCGAATTTGACTCTGCGGTGTTCAAGAGAATCGAGTTTTAAAACAGGTAGTCTCGATGCAAAATCAGTGTAAGAAATATGGCATCTTTTACAGGTAATTCTGCTGAAGTATCTTTGGACGTTTTCGATGCAACGTATATCTTTAAGAAGGTAAGGACTCCACACTGGGGTTCAAGGTTCTAAGATTAGACGCACATAGATCTTGTAGGTTTTTAAGGAGATTTGAATCATTACTGATAAAGATTTTGAAAAGTAAATATAGACGGGCGTATGCTTTTTTGGAAATACGAGATTTTTTTTTAGAGAATTATGGCTTTTTTTGAGAGAATTACGGCTTTTTTTGAGAATTACGGCTTTTTTGAGAAATTTTGAGAGAAATTTTGAGAGAATTACGGCTTTTTTTTAGAGAATTACGGCTTTTTTGGCATTACGAGAACAGTCTTTGGAAAATTTTTGTGTCAGAAGATACCGTAAGACCAATATCTTCAATACAGTTAACAGTCGTTATCGGGGTGTCCAGGCAAAACGAATACGAATTAACAGTCAAAGACTTACTTCCAAAACATAAGTGGAAACATTTTTTGAATGCTATTTTTTGTTGCCAGTAAGCTGTCCAATCAGAGAACTTTTTTAATGATATTTTAAGGTCAGCATTGTTATTTTTGTCTCTCGTTTGGTACAATTTGCTATCGTCAGCAAACAGCTTTATTCGACAATCACCTTCAATACAAGAAACTACATCATTAATAAATAATAAGAATAAAGTTGGAGCCAACACAGTTCCTTGGGGTATTCCACTCTTTACAGGTACGTAGTTTGAGTAAGAATTACCAATGTAAACACATTGGGATCGATCAGTTAAAAAGTTGGTAATCCAATTTAGAAGTTCGTACTTAATGCCGTAACAATTCAGTTTGTACACTAACTTAGAATGCGATACAGAGTCGAATGCCTTTTCGAAGTCAATATAGATAATATCAACTTCCTTTTTCTTGTTAAAAGCTGAGGTCCATTCATTAAGAGAAGCTAACATCTGTGTACATGTAGATCTATGCTTTAAGAACCCAAATTGGTGAATAGAGATAAAGTTATTAAGTTGAAGATACCTTTTTAAACAATTATCAATAATTGACTCCATAACTTTGCAACTAATACAAGTCATTGAAATAGGTCTGTAGTTCGTAGATAAGGAGGGGTTACCTTTCTTGAAAATCGGACATACATATGCGGTTTTCCAAATATTCGGATTTACACCGGTTAACATTGACAACTCGAAAAGGAGAGAGAACAGGATGGCAATAATATTAGCAATCGATTTCAGGAATAAGGCAGGATACTCATCTGGTGATTTTGATGACTTTGGTGAAAGTTTTTGAAGAGCTGATAGAACAGAATCATAAGAAAATAGGACATTAATTAAAAAATTATTGTGGGATGGTAGGTTTAGCACAGGTTTAGTACCATTGTCAGAGACAAACACTGAAGCAAAAAAATTGTTCAGAAGGCTCGATTTTTCACAGTCATAATGTTGCATAATGAAGGAATGTGAGAAGCAATAGATACACTCAGGACTTTACAAATAGCTTGCCAGAATGATTTAACGTCTGGGTTTTGTTTGGCCAACATATACCAGTTTAGGTTAAGTAAGTCGTTATTAATTGAAATATAGTCAGCTTATTAGAAATTGTGAATACTAGATAGTTCATGACATTTGGAATTCATCAAATTACAATTAAATAGTATGGTGGAATGGTCTGGTGAATGGAGCAGCTGTTTCCACATTGTAAACAGAGGTCAATCATTTGATAACTTTTTATGCATGGTTTTTCCTTTTGGTGATGCAAATACGTAACGTTTCTCGTTTGATGATTCTTCAACGTTGATACAGCAAATTTGTATAGTGCGGCAGTGAACGACATAACGAATATGTTTTGTCCAATTCTTTGATAAGTTGATTAATAGCAAAAAAAAAATGCAAATGCACAATTGATAAAATTTAAATTTATTTAAAATAATTCATTCATTGCAATGACTTTGCAAATGGTGAAAAAAGCTAAGAAAAAATAAATAAAAAGTTGGGATAAAAAAATAAAAACAATGTACAGTTGAAATGCCCTTAGTTACATACAACAATTTCAAATAATAATAAAGTAAGAACTTCAATCTTAAAGTTAACAAGGTTAAAGTAGAAAAATGATTGCACATTTTATATCTCTGCTCATTAACATGATTTTCAAATCTGGTAATGTTAATTAACTAAATATAAAGTTATTAACTTCAATCGCAGGTGCATTACACTGTACATTTACAGATACTTTAAGCTTTACATTTAATACTAAAAAGATATTTTATGAAACACTACTATAAAATTTACTGTTATACAAAAATTACTAAATTACAAAATTTATAAAAATTACTTATGTTACACATAAAAAAAATTTACTAAATATATATATTTTTTTAAGAATCCTATTGTAGAAAAAAAGCGCGAATGTGCAATTAGTATTTTTAAATTTATTTATAAACAATTCATTTATTTACTGCAACTTGCAATAAAAACTTTGAGAAATAAAAAGATTTGAAGAAAAAACCTAGACTAAGAGACTAAGTACAGATGAAAAAAAAAGTATTAGTTAAATACAGCGTTTGTTATATTTTATTATATTACTATCAAAATAATATATTGTATTATTAAAATAATATATTTTAATAATACTATTAAAATAATATATTTTTCTTAATAAAAAAAATAATAAGAAGAAAATCAAAACTTCAATCATTTATAAAAAAAAAAGGATTTTTACCATTAAAATGAAAGTAATCTAAATAAGTTAAGCAAAAAATATAAATAGATACAGTTTGCATCATATTTAATATTTGTCAACAAAGCGAATTAAAGTAGTTTGACATAAATAATAAAACTATTTTAAATGCTTTCTCTAAAATTAAATGATTTTATGAAATTGTAGCATATGCATTTTCCAAATGACACCCTAATTATTATCCATTATTAGTCAAATCTTGTTTTTTAAAACTGATTTTTTTTTTGTCTGCTCAACCATGACCAGCAAGAATTTACTTTGGGTGGTCAAAATAGCTATTTTTGTTATTTAAAGCAGTTGTTGACCATTAACCAGCCATTATATATATATATATATATATATATATATATATATATATATATATATATATATATATATATATATATATATATATATATATATATATATATATATATATATATATATATATATATATATATATATATATATATATATATATCTTTATGTTTTTGTAGCAAAAAAAACTATATATTGTGCGTGTGTGTATATATATATATACACACACACGCATTATAGTTTTTTTCGCTACAAAAACATAAAGATGATCTGATGAATCTCATGCAAGATTAAATGATATGGAATCAACCAAAAAAAGCAAACCTTAAAAAAAATTACTTATTATGTTACCCTTATAAGGTATTTTTAACATTTAAGAGAGGGTAACATTGACAGTGGCACTACAGCAACAAAAATAATTATCTATCGATAATATTAAAAAAAAATTTAAGTTTTTAACAGTTTATGGCAGGAACTCTGTGCTGAGCTCTAACTTTAATATATCTTTTGCATCTGGCCCAACTACCAGCATGGCTATTTCTGTCTCTTGTTTTACAGCACATTCAGTTGCTACATAGTTCAGTTGCTACATAGTTCAGGTTTTTTTCTTGATCTGTTTTGCAAGTTTCCAAGTTTTTCTTTTATTTTTATTATTATATTATACAGCAACAAAACCTCCAGCAACCTTTTTGCTACATAGTTCAACCTTTTTATAGAAACCTTTTTGATAGTTTAGGTTTTTTTCTTGATCCATTTTGCATATTTCCAAGTTTTTCTTTCACTTTTATTATTATAGTATACGGCAATAAAACCTCCAGCAACCTTTTTGCCTAGATTATCAGGATAAAATATA